ATATATATATGAGCACTTCTTATCAGGGTATAAATGGCTCTTTGGGAAGATTATTGGTATTCCTGAGCTCCACACACACATGCTTTTCGCACTGTACGCAAGCTCCTCTGTTCCAAACACATCCTTAAATTCTCAGCCACTGCTATGCTCCTGTGTGATAGCTGGAGCCACAGTACCCCATGCCAAAGCCAGTCCCACACTTACCAGCACTAAGCACTGCATTCTCTTCTACCACTTTGGAGACATAAGCATCAGGGTTAATACAGAAGTCACTGGAGCCCTAGATAGATGAAAGACAAAAGGAAAAAGGACTATCAAAGAACACCAATATCAAAGAGCAGTTGAGCCAGGTTAACATCAGGGAACCCTCTGCTGTAGGGGTGTTTCAGATGCTGAAGTCTCTCATTGTCACCCCCACTAGCACTGCTTTACACAACCGCAGCAGTGCTGAAGTAGTAGCTAGCGCACTACACCATGGAGAAGGGAGGAGCTCTGTACTTTTCATAGGTGCAAAATGCTAGGACAGCTACTTAGGACAAGATGCACTATAAAACAGGCACAGCATAACATTAATCTCGTGTCTGGTAAGTCTGCATCAAAGGGTGAATGGGTCTTGGATTAGAGCCACTTACCACTGCTACAGCCAACTCCAGACCCAGGGATCCCCAGCTGATAATCAGGGCAAACACCCCGAGCAAGCACACCCTGTGGAAGACAGACAGATGGCAGATGGAGCAGCTCTGATTTCAAGCAGATCCTTTCACAAGATGTGTTACTTAGAGTTCAAATCAATTACCAAAACCAAGAAATTATCAGCCACTGTATCTTCAGATAAACCATCCCATTTTCCCAGTAGTAACCAGGGAAGTTTATGTACAGTTGTTGGTCCCCATGTCACCTGACCCTAGGGCTGCAGGGGAAGGAAGGTGAGGGTGGAAACAAAGTCTTACCCTGCTTCTAGCAGGGAAGCCAAAGGCACAAAGACAAGAGATGGCTGTAGGGGAGGTAGATTAAGTGATGGATTAACTACAGTCCCATCACTTCCATTATTCCCATTCTGGATTTTACTTTCCGAATCCAAAGCTATTCCAAGAAAAATATGCCATATCAGAAAACCCCACAAAAACACCCTGATCCAAAATTCAGCAAACTCCTCCTGTTTCTAGAATAAATGAGGTTGTCAGGTGTAAGCACTGCATGGCAACAGCCAGTGAGAGGAAATACTCAGTCCCTGTTAGGACACCAGACTTTGATTCCAAGCTGCGTGTATCTGAACAGCACCTCAGCATCTCAGGAGACCTGCAGGCAAACAGTTCAGAGCAACAGCTTGGGTGCCTGCTGCTGCCATGCAAGGTTATCTCTGCACAGACTTAAAAGGTTTTTTTCCTGACAGCTGGACCTCATTACTGACAGAAATAGTGGGAAGTGACTGCTGTCAAGCAGACCCAGGGCAGAGGGATGACAGAGCAGTGGTCTTGGTGACATTCAGCTAGCACACACCAGTGGAAAAGGCTTTTGCACTTCCCCCAGCAGCACATTAGCTTTTCACCTTTGCTGTCAGGATGAGCGCCAGAGATATTTAGGCAAAATTGCTCCTCAACTCCCTCAGGTATGGGGATGCAGACTAATAAGCAGTTTCGTTTTATGTATCCCTGTCTTCAAAGTAAAAGGACACTGGCTTGCTCTCTCAGGAATGCTCTTTCCTTCAGGCTTTGAAACACAAGTAGGTTTCCTCTCACCCACACCCTGAAGAACACACAAAAACCTGTTCATAATCAAGATATTATTTATTCAAATCTAACGCAAGCACCTCTGTGAGGAAGGGACATAGCTCTTTTCTGCTACATTTGTCTTATTGAAGACTAGAGCTTTAAAAAAATAAATCTATGGGTCTTGATTTTTTAAAAAACTTATCTATCCCTCAGTTTCCCAACTTATTTTAATTCTGAGTAGTGGCTCATCTTGCACAAGTAATGGAGCTTTACCAGATTGACCTCTGGGCAGCATTCTGGAATAAGATGCTAAAAACTTTATTATGTTTTTGTTTTTTCAAATGTATGCAAAAATTGTCAGTGATGGATCAGCAAGGTTCTGCAGTTTTATGACATAAGGACAACACAGCTTGGTGGCTCCAGCTGAGCATGGTAATCAATAAGACACATTTGTTGTTTTACTTTAAATGAAGATGACTGGGTCAGTAACTGATTGCTTGGCTAAAAGATCTAAAACTGGCATTTCACCATCTTGTTGGCTGTGATACACTTGCTTCTTTATGCCATGTGCTCCCTTTGGGGAATGCCTTAATAAGAACTTCTGGCTAAGAGGGAACGAGATTCTAATTTAAACCCTGGGTTTACCATCTGTGCACATGCTTGGACTTTTGTCTGGATAACCTGCCAGGTATGAAGTCATCAGGCAAATAATAAATCTGAATACTCGTTTTAATTATTAATGGCATCACCATGTATCAGGATAAACTCTTGGCCATGTCAGTTGTCAAACTGTCACTATGTTTATGATACCAGTATCTTTGCCAAATATGCCAAGCTAAACCAAGCTGTAAGATAGGAATAGTAATTATTTTTTTCCTCTTGTAACAGGGCCTGAGCATGGCGGCATTTGCAGTGCTTTTTACAAATAGCCATGCATTAATATTGCAGCACCATGGCAACAAGACTCCTCCTCATAACTGTACAAACCATTGCTTGCTCTCAGTTTAACATTTCTTCAGGTGTGACAGCCAAAGGTAAACAAGAGCAGATCGTGACACAAAAGGCACGCTACCAGGTTGTGTAGAAACATGCAATGCTTATCATCAATTAACAAATGCCTTCACAACTGTACAGAATTAAAGGGAGATTTTTAAAGCCTGTAAATTTAAGGGAACATGTTTCCCCGCAAATGGAGGCTACTAGTGCTACCTAGTAGAAGGTAGACCCCCCAGATGAGTTCCTAATTTGATGATAAAGCAATGGCCACTGGTACCATTGCATTTTATAGCTCAAGAACCTTGTTGTGAACATCTTTAGGATCTGATTGAATGCACTTCCATTCAGCTGGCCTTCCTTATGCCCTTTGCCTGGGTCAGGACTTACCCCATAAGAATGGCCCTGGAGTTTCTAATGAGCCCAAAGAGCACCAGCAAACATATCAGGACATTGAACAGGAGCAGACCCAGGTATCCCAGCCACCTGCAGCAAACAAAAACATAGTCTGCAAAGGAAAACTGATCTATAAAAGGTACAGATCAAGAAGTTAGTGTGACTCATGGAGGGAAAACGTAGCCTTTCTTTTCTTCAAATAAAAGCCACCACTAATGATTAATCTCCAGAGAGCTCTGGATATTTGCTTGGTTTGGAGTCAAGGCAGGTAAAAACATTTATACAACATGCCCAGCACACACAGTTGTTGAGAACCAAGACTGCTAATCTTGTTCCAGTGTAAAGTTATATGCAACTGGACACCATCAAATGAAAGAGAGCCACTGCAGCTCCTTGAACTTCCAAGGCATTTGTTAGAAAATGCTTCAGTTATTTATTCCACATGTGTGAATAAAGGTTTTCTTTTGTCGAATATAGCTAATGCAATCTTTTATGAAGTATGTTTAATAAAAAGGAATGCTGTAAGAAACTAATCAGCTGGGTGGACCAAGAGACCCACAGCAATACAGAGAGCCTTTGGCTCAGCCACCCAGAACACACATCACTGCTGCAAAACAGGTCAAAAGAGATGCTACCACCACTACTCTACTGTACGCTACACACCTGTACCAGTCATAGAGGTCAATCTGAATTGCCAGCTCCTCCAGAGACAGCTCTTCATTCTTCCAAAAGGGAATCTCAGTGGTTTGCCTGACCAGATCATCCAAGAGACCTTGCAGTTTCTGGATAACATGCAGGTAGTCAGTCTGCTTTGTGAACATCTCCTCCAGGACAAGCAAGTTTGGTTCTACTGTTTGGTTCAGAGCCACTGCAGTATCTATTACCTATAGTATGGGAAAGAAAATGGAAAAAAAAATTAAAAAAATATTAAAGGACAGGAAGTCAAGGAAGTAGAAGAGGATTTATTCTTACTAGCAAGTCATGGACAGCTTCCAGATTACCAGTCCTCTGTCTTAAGAGACTCGGACTGCTTACCCTTTAAAAGCAGTTTTTAAGCACCTATGAAGTTGATTGTTTACGAGCAGTCCAATGATGGCATCTCAGCTGAGCCTTTGACACATGTACACATTTTGCAGCCATCAGGGTTGCAGTATGATACCATGAAATCAGAGCTAGCACAGGAACAACTGACTGCACCAGAAGTATACATTTTACTAAGACTTGTCTGCTTTGGCCTGCTTCCTCTTCTGGGTGTGGAAGAGAGCTGATCAGAAGCTGTTTTTAAACCTAGCAAAGAGAAGACTTCATTTAACAAGCTGTGTTTGCTTTGATATTTTTAGAAGAGCTGTAGAAGTCACCACTTCATTAACGGAAATTTTAGCACATTTCTAAGCCCAGAGACTACCAAAAAATAGGAAGAGATATAAGCACAGCCAGATCCAGGAGAAGAGATGCTGAGCAAGTCTGCTCATTCCCACACTCCCCATTTGCTAGCGTTTCTCTCCCAGTGCTCACCCGGTCTTGGACACCCGCCACAGTGCGGTTTGCATGGCGTAGCGAGTACGTCAGCCGGTGGATGCCATCACTGGTCTCTCCATTCCCATAGAAGCCAACAGCAATTCCAGCACTGCAGAGAAAGAGCAGAAAAGAGTAAAGTTAAAACTATAAGGCACACTACATGCTTTGACTGCTTTCTTCGTGGTCACATCATCACTTTCCACTGGAAAGGAAGCCATGTGCCTCCCCAAATAGTAGCTGGGGTGGTCATGCTCCTCAGCAACCACTGAAAAAAAAAAATGCACCTATAAACATTTGCCTGCGTTTTCCACACAGCCACCAATTCTCTGTATAGCAGCCATATGATGAACAGCAGAACATCATCCCTTCTCAGGATGCCTGTTTCATTTATGGTACAATAATGAAAATCTATTAGAGATCTCTTAAGAGAATTCAGACGTAGCCATGGGCAATCAGAAATCCAGCCAGCCAAGTGGCTCCAGTGGTCCTGCAAGGGGAATGGGTGCTACCACTGCTGTGTCATGAGACACATTCTGTCTCTGGATGTGAAATACAGATTGTTTAATTGCATTTAAAAAGTGGGACACAAAGAGCTTGCATTGACTACTTGCCCATGGTGGTGGCTCCTCTAGACCTGTTTTCCATGCTCTGTTCTCTGCACTGTGGAATGTCTATGAACATCATCTATCTTGATTTATCTTCCCATTAGAACCATTTGTGTCACACTGATTTAGAATACTGGGAAGGAAGGCTTAATAAATTACAAAAGGGACAAAAGGCTTGCTTATTTTTAAAGCAAGTGAATTACAAGCTAGCAGACACAATTCAACTCCAGCTGCTTAGCAAATTACCACCTATCAGCTGATTTGCCATAACTGTCCACACATATCCGTCTGCCCCAATTATGAAGTAAACCATATTAGCTTAAGCCTTACTTAAAGGGGAAAGATCCTGTAAATGAGTTGCAACCAGGAGATAATCTCATGCAAGTCGAGAGATACCTCTTCTATTAAGACATCGCCACAGGAACACACAACTAAACTCAGGACAAACAAACATTACCAAGATATAATTTTCCTATTCTCGTGTCATATTTTGCATCAGAGCACCCAGAATCTTTTCTGGGAAGGTTCTCAAGGCATCAAGGTTGTGTTTGTGGTAGTGGAAAGGAAGGTGGTGGTGATGGTTTTGGTGTAAATCTAAAGTTATTCTTGATGAAACGGTTTCTTCAAAACAGCTTTGTGCTGGGTTATAGCACTGCCCTCACAGAGCTGGTTTGAAGGAGGAATAAAAGAGGAAGGAAACAAGCCAAACAACAGCTTTCAGAACAAATAAGCGTAGGGCCTTTGTTTAACAGGAAGGTTCACTGAAGGACGTAGGCATTCTTCACCACCATCACCACCCGGCTGGGAAATGAACCAAAGCAGGCAGGCCAGAGGGGGCTTTGTCTGGATAACAAACCCTCGCACAGATTTGCTCTGGCACACACATCAACCTGCAGCCCAAATAACTGTTTCTGCTCTCATTTCTCTTGGGCTCATCCACTTCAGAGTGAGCAGTATAATACAGCTCGCTTGGTTGCGTTTCTACTTTCTCCTCGTACGTACAAGAAATGTAAGGAAAGAACATGCACTGGAAGCAGATCTACTATAAGAATCTGTGTCAGCCTCATGCTTTTTACAGCAGTTGAATCTCTAAATTATAGAGAGCTTGGCCCATACAAGTCTCAGCTGAAGAGTCTTGCAGGGACAGTAGGCAGTCTATATCATATACAGAGAGGGAGGCAGCAGGCATGGAACTCTTAATATTTAGTGTAAATACAAGAAAGCAGCCTCTTTCTTCATGAACACCGTTCCTCAAACATTTTCCTAATGCAAAGGATGCTGATAATTAAAGAAAGAAAAGCCCTCTGCATTCCTCCCTGGTTGCAGCTATTATCAGAGCCTGATAACGCATGCCTAGGATGCACGTGGGTGGAGGGGATAAAAAAAAGACTCGCACCCAGCTCCTCCTGAATAAGGGAGATTGCAGATCCAGAGCTATGCCCTGGATAAGGCAATTCAGCATGCCATTGTGGCAATTACAAACCTCTGGCTTGAGTTTCACCTTGTCTTATCAGAGCAAACAAATTCAGACAGACCTTTTCACTCTCCTGAGGAGCAGAAAACTTTTACAGTTGTTTCTATTATAGACACCAAATAAATTCCAGAACATTCCTGACATTTAATATGCAGATGTGACCCCCTTTAATTAGTGAGCAATTTTTATTCAACCTGTTACAGCTACTAGAAGCCTATTTTTTCCAGCAAAGGCTTGGTAAGTGCCCAAAACCTGCTGTTTGGCTCTCTCTATTCCCAGCGCAGTAGCCCTGTTTTTGTGCAAATGACTCAAGTAACAGCACTTTGAAGTGGCACCAGCCATCTTGTCCTTAAAGATGCAGCACAACTAGGTATATTAGGCAGTTCACTCAAAGGTACCATTTACGAAGTGCTAGCAGCTACAGGCTTGAAACTTGGTACCTATCCAAGGCTGAAGGACCCCAGCAACCATTGTCGTAGACTTCCTATCCAGCTCTGCACGAACCACAGCTTCAGCTGCCCATAACCCTATAGGCACAGTCACTACTCCTGAAAGAAACCACTAGAGCAACAGGAGTTGGGATAAAAGCCATTTAATTCAAGGAACAAATTCCTCTAGACGTGTGTATCACACATTCACTGGAAAATGCACATAAAGCATTAATTATTCCATTACTGCCCAGCAAAAGCTCACTCTGCATTCACACTCTGTGCTACTTACACAGCCATTCTTCTCCTAGGAGCAAGCTGCACTGCTTTTTAGCAGTTCCTCTTTCTATCGTGCAAGAGAGGGAAGGAAACCACCCCCGAAGCCCAGAAGCCCAGGCTGGGGGCAGCTGCCCAGACCCACGCTGTGAGAGGGGGGACTGCTGGTGGGGGCAAGAGGAAAAAAAAAATCACTGCTGTTTAGTTTTCTGTTTGCATTTGGCTTCATCTAAATCCAACAGTTGTTTCAAATCCCTGCCTACACACAGTGGTATAAGTTGCTATTGTTTAAAGCTGATTTAAGGATTTGCACTAGTTTTTGACTACCTTTTATATGATTGAAGGAAAACAGAGGGGCTCCTTCTATTTAAGCTCATTCTTTTTAAGTAAAAATAGATCAACTCATCTTTACACAACAGTGTAAGTCCTTGAGGTCAGGACAAATCACACGGCTTCTTGCACAAGCCCTGGGAAGCTCTGTAGCCCGAGATACAGCAGATCCATCTCCCAGTACAGGATGACAAAATCGTCACCCAATGGGGAAGCCTGCATTTCTGTCACGCACTGTGGATACAAGAACAGCATTCCCGAATGACACAGCGTTTTTCCACCCTAGCACCCTCTGAAAGGTACTCCAACACATTTTCAATGCTTCTATAGGAAAGTCACCTCTACTTCTGCTATTCTTGCTTCTGTCACACTCCCCTCCACCCCAGCACATGTGCACACATACACCCCCCTCTTTCCTCTTGAATCCACACCACCCCATCCTCAGTTCTTCCTCCCAGACCTACCCCCTGCCAGTCTCCTGTGCCTTCCACTACCCCAGGCTCTCCCCTGCCTTCCTTCTCACTCGTATTTTGGAATAAAAATCTTAAAAATCAACTTACCAAGCTCTTAGACACCTTTTAAAAACTTGCTCCTGCTGTTCAATAATGCATTTAAAAAGGCACTTGGCTACTCAGTCATATTGGTAAGTTTTAGGAAACCCACTTAAGTCAAGAAAACACTGCACTCCTGAGTTTAACACTATCATCACTGGTGCACACCCACAGAAACACACTAAAGAGACAGCACGCTATACCAGCTCTTCAAATATGATGTGACACAGAATAGCAGCGTGCCATGATTTCTATGCATTCCTACACATACCACAGTATGCAGATACACAACTGTGGGTTGTGTACCCACATTTCAGCATCACTTTTCAGCCAGACTCAAGAAATTAAAGTCTGGAAGAGAGCATTCCTGTTGCTCATATACAACATGAGCTTAGGACATCCCCTAATAAAGAACTAGAAAAGAAAAACCAAGTGCAATTCCAAATTAGCTTGCAACACAACCCCCAAGAAACCAAACCCCAACATTTTCTGGATTATACAAGGTATACATAAACAGTTAATCTGATACAGAGTGCATATACATGCCTTCCAGTGGAGAGATCTTCCTGTTGTAATACCCACGCACACACAGAGAAAACCCCTCTAGGTAACCAGTCACCGGTATGAAAAGATGAACACTAGCCATTCACAACACATCCTTGGAAATGAATAATCTAACTACACCAAGTCATCTTTAATTACAGGAACTTCATGAGAAGAGCTCTTTTTAGACCTCATGTTCTCAGGAGGAATGTTAATTTGTCTGTCTAATTACCACCTTGCACTTTCGCACCAAGGGAAAGCGCTGTTACTGGCACTTGAGAAACCAAGTTTTCACCATCTATTTGTACCCATTTTTTTCAGGTACCCTCTCCATGAAGCTTCCTACCCACCTTCAGAGCTGAGCTCTCTTCTGGGAGAGTTAGGGTCACCTAACTGGTGGATGAGATGATTTAAAAGACAACTCCCTGTACACAGAAACTGATCAAAATCAGTAAGGACTAGAAATGAATTAAGTATTCAAGGAATAATCCAGGCAAATCATTCCTACAGCTTTGTGGCTAGAGCAACTGGGAAGACTCAGAGAGACATTTTGTTGGAGAGCTCCTGTTAACCAGTTACACTCTCCTGCTGGCTCAGCGTTCTCCCTTTGGCTCAGCGGGAACTATCAAGTCATTAGGAAACAGTGATGCACAGCACGCAGCAGGATTCACCGTACAAACAGTCCTCTGGGATTAAGTACTACCTAGGTAAGCATCTACCAGGCACAGCTGGACTTAACCAGAGTTAACTAGTTCTCAGCTAGGAAGTCAATAATCTACTTCACGTCACTCGGACAGACCAGAGCAGCTGCTGTCTGGGACTTCTCACTGGTTTTTGCTTTTTACTTCTCTCCTCTTGCATATGGTGCTACAAACTGTCTCTCGGGTCAGCCAACTGTCAGACATTCAGAATAGCCTTACTCCTCATCACTCTGAAACATAACAGCATCTGCTGGTCTGGCACTTTTGTTATGTGTAATGCACAGCTAGGACAGGATATATCCAGTGGACTAATATTTAACTGCTGGTATCTAATTGAGACTTCCTACTAGCACAGATTAGATTCCATGCTTGTGGGAAGCTGTTTCTGCATTCCCAGCCAGATCCTGAGCACAGAGTGCCAAGAGGCACTGGTTCGAGTGCACCGTCACATCCAGCTGCTCTAAAAAGGGCAGAAAATTGACCTCAGCATCGCAGGAGCAGCACTTGGACAGCACCTTTACTCACCACAGACGGCACCAACCTGCTATCACTCCAGCACGCTGACTTCAGAGTGGAAATCTAAAACTTAACTCAAAGAAGTCAAGACAAATATAGATCCAGTATCACTGTAGATTCAGGCAGAATCTTAGTTTTCAGGTCACTCCTGTATTTAATACTTGCAATAACAAATGGTACACCAAGGATAAGAACCAGTGGTTCAGACATTGGAGGAAGTCTAAGTAGTTTTCCAGCTTGCAGACTTGATGGGAAGTTACATCAAGGTTACCAGAATTTATAAGCTGGCCTTTCCACTTTCAGCTGTCTCACGCACACTCTGGGACACATACAGAATACCTCCTTCTCCCCTTTTCTACAATTAAAAACAAACAACTACCACACTCTGCAGCAGCTGTCTTGGACATATACACTGCATAACAATAGCAAACAAGAGCCTGTAGCAGCAACACAACTATAAATAACATCAGCTGGAGCTCTGTAAGAAAAGGTCAGGACCACAGCACTTTCAGTGGATTGGAATGGATGCAGCTGAAGCTCTTGAGAACACTAAAATGAAAGGTGAATAAAGCTGAAATTTCTTCTTTGCAAGTCATTCTCTGGTTTGCCTTTCCATTCCAAGCACCTATTCACAGCAAAGTATGGACAAGCTCCCTGCAAAGACAGCAGTATTTGCTAGTGCACTACTCTCCTCCTCAACACTGAGCCCCTACCTCTACAGGCAAATCCATCCCCAGCTGCTGAACTCACAACATAATGTCTGCTCTGCAGTGCGTGTTCCAGGACTCCAGGGGTTTTCTGTTCTCTTAAGTATGTGCCTCCAAAGAGCAAATACACAAATGCATTAGTAACACAATCTAGCCCTTGAACAGCTAAGCCTGGCCTTCAAGGAACACACTCGCCTCCAGAGTGATCACACGCCAGATCCACCACCCATCAGCAGACTAATAGAAAAAGTGAGCCACAAGACACCACAAAACACAATTGTTCCATTATGTCCTTTCTGAACAGGGGACTGCTCCCAGACCTGCCAGCCCTGTGGAAGGGCACCTAAGACCGCCTGAAGCCCTGGGGAAAAGCAGATGGAGCTGGGAATTGGTAAGAAATACAGTGCTCAACCTCAGGGCACACATCTGTAGAGCTCAAGGTACTCATTCTGCCCAAGTCAAAACAAACCAAGCCCAAGACTCCCTCCAGAAGTTTGCAAACACGTTCCTGCTTTCAGATGCCACACCATGAACTTTCTAGGAAATGGGAACTTCTTCTGTGTTAACTGGGAAAAAAAACCCAAACCCAACAACCAAACCAACCCAAAACCAGAAAACAAAATGTAAGTTCTCTCCTTTCAACTATTTCTTCCCACGTTCACCACTAATTACTTAATTTTTCTTGTTTTTCAGCAACCCTACTTTTCACTTCACCTCACCTCTATTTATTACAGATAATAAATGCAGCAGTGTCTTACACAGGCTGCAAAATCTGAACGCCCACTCCAGTCAAATACCAATACTTCCAAACCCAAAAGAATCATCTGTGCCTCTTTCTTCCTAAACTACTCTCCCACGTAGTCATTCTTTTTGGACACCAGATTCTAAGAAATCTCCATCTAGACCTGATAAATACTTCAGCTGTATCCATTCTATTTAAGCAAAAAGCTCCTGAGGACGCAGTGTCCTTGATTTACCACTTGCAAAGTATCAAAGAGCAGGACATTAGCTATTCCTTTTCACATTGCTCAAACCATTAGGCAGTTCAGCAAGTGGCAGAAAGGAAGAAAATACATTACAGATATTTAAAAGATACATACACCAAGTGGAAAGAGGGATTACTGCCAACATTGACTAACTATAGACACAGCATAACAAGTATGAAAACGCACACACAGGATACGCCATCCTGAGTAACAGGGAAGATTGCCTTCAGGCATCAAGCGTACCTGCACACCAGGGTTGCGATGATGACACACCACGCCGTACAGCAGCAGTCAGCATTTAGATGTTCTTCGCTCTTCCGATGGCGGCAACACAGCCAAAAGGAGTAGAACAAGAGAAAGAGCAGGTCCAGAGCCAGACAGGAGAGAGCGATGCCACCCAACAGCAACAGGGCCTGTAGAAAACAGAGATAGGGTCACATCCGACCACGGCACAGCTATCCAGGGGATGGGAACCAGTGCCAGATGTTAGAGGGCTCTGCAGTAAGACACCACTGAAGGCATACCTTGAAAACAAGTTGTTTCGTGGTTTTTGTATATTTTTTAAACAGAAGATTTTTAGCCCCACTTTCTCCCCTCTCTGCACCCCACTCAATGAAACCACATCCTGTACCTAAGCATTAAATAGTTGAGCTATTTTGTCTCTCCCAGTCTGCAAACAGCCTAAGTGAATCAGAGAGGGTTTCCTCTTTGCTCCTCAGAGGTCAGCAGATTTAAAGGAAAAAAAATAAAACAGTTCAGCCAGCTGCCTCTATCTGTACAGTTCTTTAATCTTCATGAATAAATATGCAGGCTTATTCATTAGAAATCCAAGTGCATGAGTGGGCTTGAAAGGGGGTGGAATTTATTATACAGGCGTGAGATTGATTTTTAAAATAAAATAATCCCCATGCAATGCTTCGGTTCCAGGTAGACCTAGAATAAATGCTAAACCCCTCCATATACCTTCCACATATGTAGGTACAACAAACGTGGATGCTACAGACACACTGGCTTGAAGCCATCACAGGCTGAGTTACTGTGTTATACCTATTTCTAGTCAGATGCTCCTGGGAGGAAAGGGAAGCAGTAAGTGCTTAACTCCATTCCAATTTCTTTTTATTCAGAAAATCCTGGCCAAGATTCAAAAATGCAAAACAATTTTGCTGAATAAAATTTAAAAAACCCAAACCATTCTAACACCAAAACCAGCCACACTTTCCCATGTGAATGAATGAAGTATTTTAGCCGTAAGCTTTATTGGATAAACCTTTGGTAATGGTGACAAATGCCAACTTACTAGAAATGACAAAGATCTGGAGAGGCCCTAAGTCACCTACTGCTGCCCCAGGACCAGGAAGGCAGACAAAGATCTGTATCAGCAAATATAAAACAAAGGTTTGAGGGTTTTTTAAGTCAGTATCTCTTTTCCTCCCCATGCAGAAATTCCTTAAAGACCATTTACAGGCTTCCTCCTGATTGAAACAGTAACTTCTTCCTGGTCAGAGAAACGAAACAGAGAATGCTGGAATTAAAGTAAGATCCTCAACAAAACTGGTGACCCTTTCTAACAGAGTCTGGTAGTAACTTGGTCTTCGTAAGCTTTTCTCCCCCTTCCTTCCCCCTAGCTTACTCTATAGGTACTCCCTGCTGAGCTACGATCCTGGCAAGCTACACAAGCCACACAACATACTTTGCAGCCAAGCAAACGTCAGTGCATACAGACTGCAGGGCCCGCTGCCATACATAACGAGATGCACGCGAGTTAAACCTAACTCCTGCATCACAGATGCTCCACGTAGCCTCATGTCACTTGCTTTCCCAGCCTTCAGAAACCCACCCAAAGCCCACCACGCACACTGGGATGGGGGAGCTTACAGGTGCTGCTTTCCCAAACTGAACAGCAGAAACTGTGTCCTGTTGTAAAAAGTGAATTTTCATATTTTTAGACAGAGAAGAGTGCGGGTGGAAGGGAAAAAGCCCTATTCCCCTTTCCCATGATTACACCAGATGGTGTGCACGCTGTTTGAGTTCCTCTGCAGAAAGGGGCCTTCGAGAGGGAAGCTGCGTTTGGAGCCCCACGTTCTCCCACTTCTGAAGGCTTGCCATGTACAAGCACTCAATACTAATTTAACCAACACATTTGGCGTACCAAAGCTCCTCGGGGATATTCTCTCTTTTTTAAACACGTCAGGCTGCTGCAATGCAAAGCTTTCCTGCACTTCTTTCTTCACACCCTAACCCTTCCAGCACATGCTAAAAGACATTACTGCTAGAAAGATAAACCCAGCTGAAAACATCATCCCAGCGACTCTATCAGCAAAAAAAAAAAAAAATCATACTGCAGCTCCAGATGGAGGGAAACAGCCCTCATTAAAAGGAAAAAAAGGGAAATACTAAAAAGAGAAAGAAAAAAACAAAGACTGCCATGTAGCAAGCAACCTGAAGTTCTGACATTTAATATATGCTTTAATTTACGCATCTGGCCTAAAGGATTTGGCTGGCCACTACACCACGATCTGCGTTTCATTTTCCAAAGAATATTTGTTTTCCATTAATGGATACGTGCCATGACAACACGTGAAATCATCCAGCAGAGCACTTACTAATCTTTCTGACTGATGAGTCAGTTTAGGACCCAGAGCCTGCTGGCAGTGAAAGCCTGCTCACAACCAGTGATATGCCCATGCCTGCTTGTCAGGATTAAAGGACAGTATTTAAAAGAGGGGGGTTGAGGCTGGATAAACCCTCAGACACTCTATCCTGCAACAGTAAATCTGGGACTTGGTTATCCAAGGCCACGTTATCCCAAGTAAATGTAAAATTATTCACTGGGCCTTTTGCCACAAAAGAGCATCAATTCCTCTTCGAACATTTGCTGAGCTATCAGAACCTTTAGAGCAAATGATGCATGAACTGCCCTTACAGGAAAATGGAGACAACTTGCAGGAGCAACATTTTACCGCTGCGCTGACACTAATGGCACAAGTAGAGACAGAGCAGTCCCTGAAAATGAGTGTAAATCCAAGCAGCATCAGCCAGACTGGCAGGAGACAAAAATACAGCCTTAGGAAGCAGTTTCAAAATAAAAGTTAATAGCAGCACGCAGGGCCATAACCACGAGCAGCAGCACTAACTCGGAAAGGCACCATGAAACCTGAATACACTTGGTCTTGTGCTGGGTAGTGCTCAACAGCCTGCTGCAGGGTTAACAACCTTTCTCAGCTCCAGCACAGTTGCCAGGACTCACAGTATTTACTCTCTCAATGGGAGTAAGAAGCCAAAAAAAAAAAAAAAAAGGGGGGGGGCAGAGAACTTCTAGGTCTCCATGCACAGAGAGGCACCATCACAGTAAAAAACACAGGGTACAAAAGCATCCCCCACAAAAATACCCATGGCTGGTAAGCACTTTCAAATGGTTTAAGGGTACCCAAAGGTGCTGATATTGAAACCAAGGATGTGTATGTAAGATCAGCCTTCAGTACAGCACAATCCTCGGTCTCCAAGACCACGTTACATATGTCGCTGTGGATGGATTCAACCAATATACTTGTCTACTGGATGAAAAACTTCCCTACAAGGACAGCTGCTTTCAGCTCTCAGCCTACAAGTTCCAACCTGTCATCCATATCATCTGTTACCTGAAGGTCTCTCTGATCACTGTGGTTCTGTACAGGTAATCTTAGCTCCTGAAACTGCACTTCAGGGATGTATACTCCATCTAATCCTCCCTCAGCAAGAAGTGACCCCACAGAAGAAACTGTTCTTGCAATCAAATGCAGTCATGAAAGGGACAAACAATCTATGTGACATGAGAAATGGGATATACAAGACACATATATTTTCTTAGAAGGGAAAGCCTAAAGCACAGGTAAACGTTGGGTTGCATACACATTAAGCATCAAGGTCACTGCTTTAAGTGGTGTCTTGAGTGTCACCACTCAACTGTACAGAGGAGCACTGGCTTAGGGACACTTCCTCACACCACCACCTCCCCTCTGCCATGAAGGTTACTTGGCACAAGAAGTCTTGGCAGCAGAACAGATTTAGAAAGTTAATTCTGAATGCATACGGACTCAAAATAATCCATATGTTTATTCAGTGCAAGTTTTACCAACCTCAACCTATCCAACTTCCAATCACCACATTCTTCAGACCTTAACTGTACTAACAGCAGCATGGCATAGTGAGCAGCTCTTCACGTGGACTAGATCACAGCTATTTCCAGATAGTACTGCTATTTTACTACTAGTCAGAAACCCACTAAAACCTCATGAAGAGACCTAAGAGCGAAGCTGAAGCTTTCAGGTGACTCCTGAAAAGCATGCAGTTTTGCTTTTAGTCTTCCATCAATAATTCTGAAGTTATTTAATCTTAAAACTCCATCATTTCAACCCACAGGGAAAAATAATTACAGCTTTCGAGCATCTCTGTTTAAGAGCAACTCTGGGTCCCTCCTGTGCGTAAGAAACAAAAGCAGCAGCAGGGAACCCACGTGCTGTTCTGATGAGTAGGAGGGGAAGGTTACTGCCCCTCCTGCTGCAGGGATTTCTGGGTCCATGCTGCAGGATTTGTCTAGAGACTTGATCTTGGGTTTGAACACAAGGGTACCCATGGGGACAGAAGGGAGAGGTTGTGCAACTGGTAGGCAGGCCATGGAAGGTAAGAATGAGATACAACTAGCACAGGCTGTCTCAAAGCATTTGCTTATCCACCTGGTGACTACCAATCCCATAAACAGATGCACACCAACGTCTGAAATCCAGTTACCAGTATGACTCGGTCATAATGAATTTAACAACTGAGGAGTGCACTGTTAAAATGCAGAAGTATGTCTGTCACAGAAAACTTTCAGCTAGAACTACTGCTATTCTGCCTCATTACAGTATTGTGCAAATATTTATGCCTAACCTTCCCATGACATTTCTGAAACTTAAGCATCATCTTGCTAATCTCCTTTCATCTTCCCAAACCACATTATCACATCCAGTTCCACCTCGTTCAATTCCAGACATTTTCAGTGTGCAACCGCCCTGTTCCAAATTCCAGACTTGGAGTTTCATCTTTCTGCTCCAGCTTATCCCTTACAGGCTGCTTGAATCAAAGCTGACAACCAGGTGAGCAGAGGTGGATCAGTCGAAGATCTGGAAGGAACCTGAATTTGAAGTGAATGTGTTAAGTTCTTCAGATGCTCTCAATTTACTTCTGTTGTCCCAAAGAGCACAGAGATCATGTATCAACAAGCCAGCAAGTTCCTCAGCACCTGAGTTGGACAAGGATAGCAAAGCAGTTTGCAGTTGCTTTATGTGGATCGATGTGACTTGAGTGAGTCAGAGCAATGTGGGAGTGAAGCAGAACGTGAGAGCTGAAGCAGAGGAGCTTGCAGGCTTTGTAAAGCTCTTCTCGTTGGAGTAGC